TTTAAAGAAAGAAATTGAGGAAGACATCAGAAGATGGAAGGACATCCCATGCTCATGGATTGGAAGAATTAATATTTTGAAAATGACCATTCTACCAAAAGTCATATATAGATTCAATGCAATGCTGACCAAAATCCCCATGACATTTTTCCCAGAATTGGAAAAAACTATCCTAAGATTCATATAGAAGCATAAAAGACCTCAGATAGCCAAAACAATGCTGAGAACAAGGAGCAATACCAGGGGGATTACTATACCAGATTTCAAGCTGTATTACAGAGCTATAGTCATAAAAACAACATGGTACTGGCACAAAAATAGACCCATGGACCAATGGAACAAAACTGAAGACCCAAATATGAGTAAATATGATTTCAGCCACTTGATATTTGACAAAGTGGACAAGAATATTCCCCAGAGGAAAGACAGCATGTTCAGCAAATGGTGCTGGCAAAACTGGATCTGCACCTGTAGAAGAATGAAACTAAACCCCTATCTTTCTCCCTGCACCAAAGTCAGTTCCAAATGGCTCAAAGACCTCAATGTAAAGTCTGAAACTCTGAAACTCTTAGCTGAAACTGTTAGAAGAAAACATTGGCAATAACCTAAAAGATATCAGTATAGGAAAGGATTTTCTACACCAGACATCAATTGCTCAGGAAACAAGGGCAAGAATTAACAAATGGGACCTCATTAAACTAAAAAGCTTCTGTACATCAAAAGAATCAACCAAGGAAGTGAAGAGAAAACCCACAGAATAGGAGAAAATCTTGACCAGCGACACATCCAACAGAGGTTTAATAAACAGAATATATAACAAACTCAAAAAACAGAGAACCAAGACAAGAAGCAACCCAATTAATAGATGGGCTAAGGAGTTGAACAGAGAGTTCTCAAAAGAAGTATAGATGGCTATGAAACATTTTAAAAGATGTTCAACATCACTAATAATTAGGGAAATGCAAATTAAAACCACTTTAAGATTTCATCTTACCCCAGTCAGACTGGCTAAGATCAAGAGAACAAATGATACCAAATGTTGGAGAGGATGTGGGGAAAGGCGAACACTCATCCACTGCTGTGGAGAACTCTTAAAAAACTACAAATGAACCCACCATTTAACCCAGTTATACCACTCTTTGGCATATACCCAAAGAACTCAGCCTATTGCTGAGTACATCCAAGTTTGTTGCTAACCTTTTCACAAGAGCTAAGAGATGGAAGCAACCTAAGTGTCCCACAATTGACGAGTGGATAATGAAAATGTGGTTCATTTATACGATGGAGTTTTACTCAGCAGTAAGAAAGATGAAATCATGAAATTTTC